CTAAAAACTAGTGTTCTTAAGTTTATTCTAGATATATTTAATTTATAGACATTCTGTAGTGTTTGTACTTATTGACAAACACGGTATAGCGCGTCTTCAGTAGATTTTATTTAAAAACACTACAATTAGGGTTTTTACTCTATTGGACGTTGTAAGAGTTTATGCAAAATGGATAAAGTAAAGAATACTAAAAGATCTGGTGGAGGTGGTAAACCTTGCATATTAAGTCACATCATTCAGTACAATCAGCGTTGCCAATGCCAATTGTTCAAAATCCCCAAAAATCACTATAAGAATAATAACGTACACACTCAACATAGCCCCGTACTAGGGAAACCTTGTGTCGCGGGTGCCATGGACACACACGTAGACAACCACAAATTACATCCAAACTCACGAGAGAAATAAATGTAGGCCATACAAATATTTCTCCCGACCCGGGAATTGAACCTGGGACCTCTGCATGGCAGTCCGGCATGGTAACCGTTCGGCCACGGAGGCAGTAAAAATATTTTCAGTAAGTATTACATTGTGTTATCATAATTATCATTTAAAAGTGTTATTTTATGCACTAGTATATAGAGTATTAACTTGGGGTTACGAATCAGAAGACCGAAAATACATTTGCCCGAAATAACGTTTGCATGGATTTCCATAATCCCGAAAATATTTTTTTAGGTTTTTTTCTAGAATATTACAAAACAAACCTAAGCTAACTTAGTCTTTTCTTTGTAATAAGTATCCAAAACTCCCTAAAGCATAACGGTTTTATTATGAATCGGTTTTCAGGATTATGAAAGTTTGGCTTTACGTTAAATTTGAATTTAAAAAAATCGAAACATCGGTACATTTCTTATGGCATGGCATAATAAATGTATTTGTTTCAGTTTTCCTCGAGATATATTTACCTATACTTTGCTCACTATGGAGAAATATAATAGCTGAATCGCGACGAGAAGAACATTTTATCCTGAAAATATACAAATTTGTTTGCTCGGCTCATTTCAGACAATCGGATATGTACATAACCAGCAAAGGCTTACGAAAATTAAAAAAAACAGCTTTGCCGCCAACATTGCTAGTAAGAACTGGTTTTTGGTGCCTAGGAATTATATTAAATTTTATTAAATTTATAGTAAAGTTTTGGTATGTGATTACAACAATGAGTGAACTGTGCATAGAAAGGAGAGAATACAGGAATTTATCCAGTAAACATAGCTTGAACTTAAGGAGAAAGTGACAAGTATTAACAGAGAACATCTTACACCGCCAAAATGCATTAAAAATCAAAAGTTGGATGAATGACA